ATATGAAAACAAAAATAGCAGTAATATCTTCTTCATCAATGACTGGTGCCCCCCTTGAGACTAGGGGACACCATTTTGTAAGTGGAAGTGTTGGCCGCAAGTGGGGACCACCCACAGATGCGGGAGTGGGGGGCAGGGAGGATGGCAAGTAGCAAGCGGGGACTGTCCACAGATGCCGGCAGCAGTGGAGGGGAAGGGTGGTGAGTGGCGAGTACCTGAAGAAGCTAGCGGCGGTGGACAGTCTTCAGGGGGACACGTCCCCCGCTCGCTACAAGTCGCCTATGATCCTCTATATTGGCATCTGGGAAAGAGAATAGTGAGTGCACATCAGGTTCACATGGCTGTGGAATAAACTTACTGAGGAGACTAAGGAGATGCCTTGAATTCTTTTCTGAATGACGACCTCAGGCCTATTAATGAGACAGCATCAACAGACACATAGGTACTTCATATGCGGGTGCCTGAGGGTTCTGGCCCCACTTGGGAAGAGGGTAGGGTGACCACCCCTCCCTAATTGGGCAGGACAGTTCCAAAGTGGGAACATCAAGTCCCAGTCCCAGGATATATGCCTGGGACAGCATTTGTCCTGGATTCTCAGCATTGTGCAGAGATCCAGGTTTTCCATTCTCCGTGGAAGAATGTGAGAAAAGGCAGGTTTCCCCTTGCAGGCTGGCAAAGTTCCAGTCTGCTAGGGGCTATGAGGAACGGGATGGAGGAGGCACCATGTGCATGTGTCCATACGCATACATGCACATGGCCAGGAGTATAGCCCCAGGCAGCAGTGGAGAGCAGCTCCCTCAGCTGACTGCAGTTAAGTCTGTGGGAGGGTGGGGGGGGCGGTTTGGGGCCCCCCCCCCCCCCCCCCAGTGAGGGAGGGAGGGAGTGGGGCAAGGGCTGGGCCTGGGCCTGAGGGTGCTGCCCAGGCAGGGCAGTGCATGGGGCCTGGGGCCAGGTCAGGGAGTGGGACAGCCGTTAGCGGCTCCCCCACCGGGGGGGGGGGGGGGGGGCGACTCCTGGGGAGGGGACTGAGGTGGGCATGTGCCCAGGGGCGGTTGTGCAGAGTTGTGCCCCCCACACTGCTGGGTGGGCAGTATTGCAGGGAGCCCTGAACCTGCATCCGCCCCTGTCCCCGCCATGAGCTCCACTTGGCTGTGATCTGGCCATGCTTCTGGGTGGGGGGCATCATCTTGGGGCCCCCTGGCAAAAATAAAAGCACTTTTCGCTGTCAGCCCAGAGCGCAGCCCGGCACAGCCCCAGCCCCACCCCCACCCACTCCACACAGATCCAGTTGCACAGTTTTCCCTGTCTATAGTTCATTCATAGCATAGGAATATAAAAATTATTGCAAGAGCAAGGATATGGCTTTTGTTACTGATTTAATTAAAACATGCTATAGTCATGTAATTAAAACAGTCGAGCAAAATACAAGTTGGGTAGATATTTTAATTTGCTGTCAGATGAGACAGACTATGGGCTTAGTTCTTGCAGTCTGCACTCTTTCTTTTGTGATCCAAAATGCCATCTATATGATGTTCCTAACCTAGATTGCATAGGATAATCCTTAGGGGAGTTGAGTATGTTACTACTGCTACTACTAATTATTACTATTATAATGCTTACCTAGTTCCTGTCTAGCACTTTCCATCTGCAGATCTCAAAGCACTTTTTAAAAGGAGATCATCATTATTATTTCCATGTCTTATAATGTCATCTTTGGAATATTGTAAAGTAAATTTTGGAACTACTGGCAGCCTCATTGTGCATTTAAACCCTAGTGCATGTTTCTATTTCATCACTTCGTGTCTTTACACTTCAACAGTTTGAAACATGTTGGGTATGTCTTTGTGCAATTAATGCAAAAGCTCCAGAGTTTATTGTTATTTGAATGTGTGCCTGGGAGCACAGCACGTTGAGCCAGGTCAGAGCAGCCCCAGCTGTCTGGGGGTCAGCCTGCCAGCGTAGGGCTGCTCTCCCCAGGTCAACCTGCTGGAGAGGGGCTGGCTTGGCCACAAGGGTGCTAGCTGGCAGGCAGACCCCGCCCTGAAGCACCCTTGTGCCCCAGCCAGCCAGGGCAGTGTCTACACATGCGCTGCTGTGGAATTTTTTACTATCCTGCTGCAGTGTAAGAGAGTTTACTCCAGCCTAATAGGGGCACGCATGTAGATGCCGAGGCGTTTGCTGCACAGCTAATTAGGCTACCATGTAATAAATATATTCTGTAGACATGCCTATTCATTATTTAATGTTAGTGCGATACTTAGAACTTGTGCATCATTTCACATTTTCAAAACTGTACTGTTGTTTGCCCTGCACTCGCATGTATACGTTTCTTCCTTTCTGTTATTCTTGGTATCAGGGAAAAATCCTCAGATAAAATACTTAAAAGCTATGTAGTAGATTAATCAAATGTTTCAAACGTGGGTGTTTAAAATATTCATTGTATCAGCGAAAAAAATCACATTACAGGCATCTGGTGGCAGACAATAGTGTTCAGAGCTAAGTGTTATAACATGTCAGATCCTGCTTTTGTAACTTAATAAGTAACTTTGTGCCAATCACTGGAATAGACATGATTGGTTACTATTATTTTTTACTATTATTTCTATTGCAGTGGCACTTGTAACCTGAGCCATTGAAATAAGGGGCCTTGTAAGCACTAAGGCTACATGCTGTCGCAGAGAGAGACAAAAGGGAAGACCCAAAGGGGCAAGGGGGGAACCCTGGGAGCAGGAATCCAGGGAAGAACAGGGAGAAAAAAAGCAAAAATAAAAGGGAACACTCACCTGCAGCGAGACCCGCAGCAAATCGGGAACACCAGGAGGAGCCTGCGCGAATCATCAGCCGCACGCACCTTCATACAGCTGCGGCCGGCCGATGACGTCAGTGGCGATCACTGGTTGGCTGAAATAAAGCGAGTGGTGAGCAAAGAGGTGAGGGGACAGACGCCAGCAGAAATCCCAGCTGGAGGGACCTCCATTAAGCTCCGAGTGGAGTGAGTGGGGCCAGAAGCAGTGTTCTCCAGCAGGGGAGGATTCAGTGCCTCGCATGGCGAGCCAGGAGCCATTGGCTACGGCAAAGACGACACTGCACTAGGAGCAGGAGCTCCTGTGCGAAGAACGAAAGAACAGGAAGGAAGATCCCAGAAAGACCCTAATTCCAGCGGCCAGCATGGAGGAGGGGGAGGTGCCAACCCACTACCCAGCATCTGATCAGGTGGGATGGTGGAGGGCCTCAGGGGGCCCAAAGATATAGGATCCAGGGTGGCGAGGGAGAAGAAGCCCGCAGAGAGCCATTGGGTACCTAGGATAACCCCATAAGTCGTCAGGGGGAGCAGGATTTGTCTGATTAGGCCTTAGGGACCAGATGTGAGTACCGAGGGGTGTGTCAAGAATGCTCTTTTCTTTTGGGGTTGTGTTGTGATACGGTTTGTGTTTCCCACTTCTGGAGGGGTTGAGTATCAAGGCACCGGGGGAGACTCGATGGTGGCATGAGCCTCAGGATCGGGGTTAGCATTAAGGAAAGTCAACGTGCACAAAAACCGGGGAGACACTAGGGGCCTGTTGCTCGGGAGTTTGGCCACAGGAACAACAGTGACCCGCCAGGTTGGGTATAAGGGCAAGGTAGAGGGGAGGTAGAGCCTCGCAGAAGACTGCCAGGGAGACAGGGCGCCCTCAGGGGAATCAGAGTGGTCCCTCCCTTCCCCCCCCCCCCCCCCCCCCGTATTAAGATTCAAAGTCATGGCAGGCGAGATAGGGGAGGACCACGTCGGGAGCAAACAGCTACTTGATGGGCCACCTGGGATAACAAGGCAGACACCATCCTCTATCCAGACCAAAGTCGCCGGGCACAAGATGTTCGAGGCCAGGCGGACACAGATGCATTTTAAAGAGACAAGACAGGCAAAGTGTGAGAAGGGACATGGATGCACAGAGAAGTGATGCATGTTATCCAGGGTCCTTTATCAGGTCGCTGGGAGTTCTCCAGAGTCTGTCTAATGTACTGTCCTCCAGACTCTGCTAGATCTTCTACAGAAAACCCATTTCTGAAGAGTTCCAGTTTGAGTGTTCTGAACTGTGTGTGACCTGCAGTCCTGCTGCTTGTACAATTGTTACCATATTTACGTTTTCCCCCGTCCCCCAGTCAGCATGGGGGGAAAAGCCCTTTATCTTTTATTTGCATGCAAGGGAATCTCATTAAATACATTGTCTATCATTAAACTGCTGCTTATCATTAAACTGCTGCCAAAAGCAGCATGTGCTCAGCAGTCAGAAGCAACTATGAAGTTGTTAAATGCAGCTAACACTGAATCTGACTACGAAGTACGTGGCCCATAGTGGGCAAATATACTGATGAAAACCTACCACAAGAATAGGTTATTGCAACCCAGCTAAATAAAATTTGGTAGTGACCAATGAGCGTGGTCCCCCTCACAGCTGACTTCCTTTTTTCAAGTCATGGTGAGCCACTGTATTGTATACATACTCCCACAGCTCTACTGTGCCTTTCTTTCCCATTTCTAATGATTTCTCTGTCCTCACCAGCTTTAAATGTGTGGCAAACATCAACAAAGGGGGCCCTAAACTGTTCACCCAGAATCACTCTGTTGGCCCCTCTCTCAGCCTATCATGTTTGATTACTATAGTCCCACCCTCCATGAGGTGGAGCTGGACCAGATTGCCATGTGTCTCACCTGCATATACATTTTTGGGAGGAGCCCAGCACGTATGACATGAACACTTGGTTCCAGTCATGTGTGGGAGGCCAGTTAGCACATGGAACTTGTGTGGGGGTGGAGTACACACACACACACACACACACACACACACACACAGTAGTGCTGAGCTGTGGGGTCCCCATGGCTTGAAATGCTGTTGACTCTGGTGGGGCCAATGAACTATATGGAAAATCATGAATCTTTTGGCTTTGGACTAATATGCATAATTTGTACTATTCTCTTGTCGGCTCAGATCAAGTATAGTCCTGTGCTTACCTGGCAAGGGAAGCACCGTGACCATCAAGATGACCTTCCTAGTTGCACCCGGGGAAGACTGCTCTCCTGTCATAGGGATAGTACCTGCCAAGGTAATGTATAGTAAGCCTCTGGAGTGGGAAGGCCTTGGCTTTATGCCCACTTTATGGAAAGGGGAGACTGCTTCCTACCTTGCTCCTGCGGCCGTATGGCTGAGGGCAAGCAAAACTTGGGGCCATCCAAATCCAAGCCTCTGGGCTTGGGCCTACAAGTAGGATGCCTGCCACAGGATTTGGAAACATCTGAAGCCCCAGAAGGGGGTAGAGGATGTTTGCCAGTAGTAGGGCCACTTATGGTTCTGGACTGACTTGCAGATTTGGAATTTGATTTGGCTTAGAATATGGAATTAAAAAAAAAAAAGAAAAGTACTATATACAAGTAAGTGCTGAAGTGCTACTTAAATATGTGTTTATGGAGTACTGTGGAGCAGTGAGCGCAGGTGTGGTGGAGAGACCTGGAGAACGCTGCTTCCGGAGCTGTTGCCTTATTAGGCTAGAAGCTCCGTGATTGGAGCATGGCGAAAAGATGGGGACTTCAACGAGGAAAAAGGAGGAGACTGGCGGAGAAGAGAAGGGGGAACAAGGACCCCCCAGGGACTAATAGCTTACCTGAGAGTGTCTGGCAGCACTGGGAAGAGAATGGAGCTCCGAGGGTGAGGGGCGGATCCTTGATGAGAAAAACTCCGTGAGATGCGTCCTTTGCCGGCAGATCTAGAAAAGAAAAGAAAAGAAAAGGGGAAAGTGGATTTTACTCGCTCTCCCAGGCGTGGCGATGGTGACAGATAGTCCTGCAAGAGGATTTGGGGCATCAGTCATATACAGGATAAAAGGTAGACTCATAGGTTTTCAAGATAACGAGGTGTCATGACGGGGTCCCTTAGGAGGGCCGTGATCTCCTCAAGGTCCCTCGCTCCATGTCAAGGCCGGCCCAAGACACCCTCTTATTCTCGCCCGCCACGTCTTGCTGGT